GCTGCAGCCACCCGAAAGAAAAAAAAAAGGAAACCCAGCCATGCCTTGAGGAAACCGGTAGAGAGCTTGATTTTTCCCTTCTTTTCTTGTCCAAGAACCTGATTTGGAATCCAGAAAATCTTCCCCCCTGCAGGAAGCTTCCGGATCTGCCTTGCTTTGCTCCTTATCGCCGGCTGCTCCTACTTTGTGGGGGCGAATTTCTCTGATTTTGGGTAAGAAATAGCCATGAATCTCCCTTCTCTAGCTTTGAATTGCCTTGGGTTTACCTTAATTTCCTCTTGGTTCTCCAAATTTTGGGTAGATTGCGTGATTCTTCCCTGCACTTGCCGCCGGCTTCTCTCCCAACTGCAGCTCGGTTTTGCTTGCTAAATTCTGGTATGTTGACAGCCCTCCAAGCCCCGAATTTGTCCATTTATTTGCTGCCTTGTGTGTCCAAAAATCTGCAGAAATCGGGGATGAATTTGGGTAGTAATTAGAGCATAATTAAGCATTAATTCAAGTGAGATTTATATGATTGAGTGTTAATTGTCTGCTGTGTGATTTTTGGAGAAAATCCCGTGAATTAGCTAGTGTTTTGGCCAATTTTTGGAAGTGGGAGTTACTGTTCACGTCGTGGTCACTGTTTACGGCAGTATTCGTGGGTTACTGTTCACACACCGAGAGTCGACAATTAACGGGGATTTAAATGATTAGTTTGTGATATAAGTACGAATTTGGAGATATTTGATAATGTGGAGATCGATAGAAATAGCATTAAGGGTGATCCTAATGATGATTTCAGTTTGAATTTGTGGTGATACGATAAATAATTGTGGATATTTTGATTAGGTTTTCGATTGTTCTGTCAGTTAGCATTGAGATTGAATCTTCAGTTTATGCAAGTAAGGTAAGTAAATTTATGGTAATGCTCGTACTGTTTTTAAAAGCATGTTTTGACTTGTTTTTGAAGTGGTGGCGGGATTAAACTCGTTTTATGCAAAAATGAGCATGATTGATTTGAAATAAGTTTTTATGCTTTTCATTAAATTGAGTATGCCTACTTGAAACTTAATTGATTGTCCTGATGATTTGAAAGTGATTAGTGAATTATGAATTTTCTGTTAATTTCTGCCTGTTTTGTCTCCAATATGGTCATGTTATCTTGTTGTCCGCTAGTGGGAGGTTTATAAACACTAGCACATGTCGACATGTTACTCATAGAACCGGTTCGTTTCTGTTATCCTGCTAGTGGGATTTTACACTAGTAATTCCTGTTGCCTGCTTGTGGGAGGTTTATAACACTGGTCGTGACCTATAGAGGAGACGTCTATTTCGTTCCCATACTGTATCCGTTTTTCGTGACTATACTTGTTGGCATGCTATAAGTTTAATAAGGGCACTCCATATTTTACTTACTGAGTTTATCTCATAGTTTTTCCTTGTCCATCATTTCAGGAACCGAAACTGAGGACGGGGAAACCACGGGAAGTGACGAGTTAGAAGGCTAGCCATTATAATTGAATATGAAATTTTAGAGATAAATCATGATCTTGTAAGCTAGAGTGTATTTGGAGATTTATGATATTAGAGCAAATTATAAAATTTGATCTTCAGATTTTGATGGTATCAAATTGTGAATTTGATAAGTTTCGAGCCTTGTGCATTTGTGGGATCCTCTCGCGAGTGCACGGCATCTATCGCACCTCGAATTCGGGTTTTGGGGCGTGACAATTCAGTACCACAGGGCCTGCACGAATGAAAAGGTTACGATTATTGGGAGTCAACCAGTTGGAGCATACATGTAAAAGAGTACGATTGTACAAACACATACAAGCATACACTATTTTGAACCTGAAAAA